CGGGGTGGGCCGGCGGCCCCGGGCACCGCAACGGGAAGCGAAGCGTCGTGGCCACTGGGTGTTTCAGCCCGCCTTGCGCGCCTAGAGGGGACCCTGGGCTGCTGGCGCGCGGTTCGCGGCAGGGTTTTGTCTGGGTAGATACCCCCTCCAGCCCGCTCGCTCGCCCACGTGCGCTGGCTCTCGTCCTGGAGCGGGGTCTGCGGAGGTGGGTGGCAGCAGCTGCTGACCCCTGTTGGTTGTGTGGGGTTTTGAGTAGCCCCTTTCTCGTTGGGGAGTTCTGGAGCGGGAAGTGTTGGCAGGGTTGGCATAGGCGTCCGTGGGCACGCGTGTAGGACTTTCTAAATTTTTACAGGCAATTACAGGCCTAACGGTAATTCGAGTGTGACTTCGCAGTGAGTGCCTCGTGGAGCTCGTCACCGCATCCACCTGCTGTGTGGCGAGGTGTTAGTCCAGTTGGAACAACGAGTCGGGACAGGCACTACCATAATGATCGGACGTTGCTGGACTGCGTACGCCATTGGGCATAGTCTGTGCTTGATTTAGCACAGCAGCTCTGTACAGTAGGAATTAGCCCTTTTTACCAACAGACTGAGAATAAGATAATTTGACCAAAATTAACGTTGAGATCCTGATCTCGAGTGTTGGTTATCCAATCCTTTTTCCAGTTTGTTTTATGCCAAATTACTCTTACTGCAGATAGCTGATGTGTCTTCTTGCATGGGTACGGCAGGTGTGATCATGGCTGGTAACACAGTTGCTACCAGGGCCTTTTAAAAAAACTATTTTGGGATAATCTCTTATTTACAGAAGGGTCGGTAAGATAGGATGACAGGTCCCACTGGTGCCTTGAGCAAAGCCAGCACAGCAGCCCCAGGCCAGGACATTGGTTCCTGCTGTGTCAGACTCCGTCCCCGTGCCAGGCTAGAGCCCGTCCTGCTGTGTGTCAGACTCCGTCCCCATGCCAGGCTAGAGCCCGTCCTGCTGTGTGTCAGACTCCGTCCCCATGCCAGGCGCTAGAGATAGCAACACACTTCCATCCAGGATTCGCTAGAGCCCGTCCTGCTGTGTGTCAGACTCCGTCCCCATGCCAGGCTAGAGCCCGTGCTGCTGTGTGTCAGACTCCGTCCCCGTGCCAGGCGCTAGAGCCCGTCCTGCTGTGTGTCAGACTCCGTCCCCATGCCAGGCGCTAGAGATAGCAACACACTTCCATCCAGGATTTCTGAGATCTGGTTGAGGAGAAGGATGTATAAATAAATACCATGCCCTTTTCTGAGTGCTGAAATAGAGAGATGGGAACGCAGAGAACGTTGTAGCGGATTGCCTGGTAGGAAGTGGTGAACACTCCTGCAGGGTGTATGTGTGTCAGGTCTCAAGGATTAATAGGTATTTACTTATTTGAGGGGATGCTGTCCATCCAATTAGGTTTGTTTTATTAGAGAAGAACTCTATAACCTTGATAAAATAGACTGTCTTAATTTGATTCTCCTCTTTCTCCTTTACAAAAATGGTTTGCGTCCCACTGGTGAAAAGAATCCTAGTTTATAAATCCATAAATAGGGAGTAAATTAGGCTGTGCAGTTCCGGTGGGTTACTGTGACACGTTCAGTGTGGTTGACATCAGAGTTTTTTGGACTGCAGTGTGGCCTTCTCTGTAGAGTTTTTTCTTCTCCTTCCTTTCCAGCTCTGATTACTGGTGGAGTTAAGAAGTTCGCTCAGGAAATGTTGCATGCTTGCTTCGTGCCAGCCAGTGCACTAGGGCTAAATAACGAGCAGGTGGACAGGGAATCCAGACAAGTAAAGTGTCGGCAGTGTTCTGTGGGGACAACTGCAGAGTGCCATACAACCGGTGGGTTGACACCACAGTGAAGTTTATGCCATGGAAACAGTCTGGTTAGAGTTTTGCTGCTGGGACCAGCAGTTGGCGTAATGGCTATGTCACTGGACTCCCACGTAGTCAACTGTGGTTCGAGTTCCTGACTTGGTGGCTTAAACTCATGCCGGGTGCATGTGCGTGCGTGCCCAGGATCCTGAGAGGAGAATGGAGGAGAAGGGATTGTAATGTGGCCATCCCCCATGGGGGGTGATTTCTCCCTTTCTGTCTTTCTGGCTAGTTCATGTGCCCTATAGCAAAAAACCTCTCAAAAAAAAAAAAAACAAATTCTGCTGCTGCTGCCATTGCCT